ATGTCGGTGTGAATGGTGCAATGTAGGTATTTTATAATCTAAATGTTAAATACATCATTTTAGAATATAATCAGATGAATCAATAGCAGCCTATAAATAGCGAAATGTTAACGCTTAAATTTGTACGCCATCAGCATCAAGAGTGTTTCAGAATTAAACTAATATACCTCTACAATGTTGGTTCTGTTTCACCCTCAAACTAATTATTGACCTGTCCTGCTGACCATCACACAACACCTACATGGGACCATGTAGTGGAATGAGGCGGTAAAGTATCACGCCAGGTACTGAATAGCAAATACAAATGATTCTTTTTCCCTTTGTTTTTGCAAAATCCAATAAAGTTTAATTAAAAGTCGTTAAATGTTGAGAGCCATTTATTAGAACAAGCCTAATCTACAATAAATCGCGACGAAATTTGTATATTTTCTTACGCGCATCGGGCCCGCTATTGTTAGTAATCTATAAATTCAATTTTGCTGAAATGAAGCCGAATGTCTGAAATTCTTTTCGACAGAAAATGCACAAAGTAAATCAAAATTAGATGAAATTAAAATTTCGCACAAGGAAAGACGAATAAGGGGTCTTGGGAAAAATAGCGCCACCTAAATTCTGATTTTGGCATGAAACTATAAAACATTCATTTGAATGCGGTGATTTGCGGCTTTAATAACCCTTTTTAAACGATCACTTTATTTTACATCATCTACATTCCATATTTTAACAATTTATTTTCCATAATTAAAACAGATGCGCTTCGCAGTTTCCAATATTCATATAATGAATCCGGTAAAGAATGCAACGTGATAAACATTCTGAAAGCCTTTTAATCATCGTCGAGGAGTCGACTGGAAGTAAGTAGCTCCTGAAATGTTATTTTAGCAATTTGCGAATTAACTAAGGGCAGTAATTGACCAAAACTCACGATAACGTTTATCATTATTTAACCATTACGTAAAGCGATAGCACTCAAGTTCGTATTTCTACAAATTGTATAGTGATAAAGACCTACATTTCGTACATAAAACGGACATAAAATGCAATTATAAAAGGGCGGAATATTCTAGCAAGGAAATTCCCGCGAGAGCTCGATTTACGAAACGTGCATTTAAGTTAGAAAGTTTTACTCACGTTGAGATTTCTTTTAGTTAAATTTGTTTCAAATATCCAATGTTTGCTACAAATACATTATGTTCACCCTTTATCTATACATGATCTATCAAACTTTTCCCGTCGCCGTATCAATCACCGTAAACCAAACGCCTATTAAAAAGCAACATTTTAACATCTCCGCCTTATGCACAAAATACAAACACCACCTTAATCCAATTTATCTAACTCTATTGATAAAAACCTAATCACAGTTCATAAATGGGTTTTTTATAGTCCGTTTATGAAAAACCTCCCTCGACACAGCCGAAATTTAAACTGAGTCACGTATGTCTACCGCATCCCAAATTTTCTTTTTAACTTAAACAACTTTGATCAATGTGCGCTTTTTACGTATCTGTTTACACAATACGATAAATACAGCTTACTTTCCCGCACGAAGTATCTACATTGATTTTTTAAAGCGTGTAACAAACGCGTAGGGGAAGACGGGGCACGCAAATCCGAGCCGATTTTAACACGTTGCCTACCGATCCTATTAAGAGAATCTAAAGCCCCATTCTTAAAATTATAAGATCTAGAAATGAAAGAAACGAAACGAGGAACCACTAATAAAAACCGGCATTCAAGGGGCCAACGTAATCCAACCTCACGAGTTACCGTTTAAATTATGTGCCATTCAAAGAAATGTGCCCTAGATTAGGAACTTCAATTTTAGAATTATGCCCCCAAATCACACGCACTTGACAGTCAGCAACATTCGATCGATTTTGCGGATTTTTCATTTAACCAGAAACGTCAAAATTCAAGCTTATCGCCATTTCGTTCAAACCTTCAAAAACAAAATGTCGTGGGAAGACTTGTTCCGTTTTTAGTATGCAAATTATATGGTATTCGTTCCTGTAGGTTAACAAATAAAGAGAAAATGGGACGAACTGTTGAGAATGGTTTTAGTTATAAGATAAGTCTTAAATTTGTCGGTTGACGCTTTCTTCAAAATACAGTATGAAAATTTAATGACAATAATAATAAGAGATTAGGACGGTTCGCTGCGGTCTTTCATCGCGAGACATTTCGTGGCCACCGCTTCGACGTTAGCCATTTCAGTAGAGTAATTTTTGCCGAGCTCTTTCACTCAGATTTTTTCTCAAGAACCAGAAAACGTAACACGTGCTATTAAAACCATCACCATCCTTTATGCGGTCCGAAATAAACGTGGGATAAATATGATCAATAAGTGAAGCAGATGTTCAAAAAATTTACCGGCTAGGGTTGGCTGTGTATCGTTAAACGTGTCATGCATTTTTCAACTACCAATATTATAAGTTCAAAAATAAATGCAAAATAAATCTGATCAATAAATCAACCAGTAACCCATGTTCAACAAATTTCTAATAGGTGTTGAAAAAGCTGCACAGTTGAAGCTGGCAATACGACGATAAACGTGTCATTCGGGCGTTTATTCAACTATAAATAGTGTAAATTCATTTTACATTAATGGTGCATTAAACGAAGACAGATTTACCCGGTGTCAAAACACCCGTTAGCACTCACCGTTCACACTACAATTAAACTTACTATATACATAAACCTTCATCGATTGCATTAGATGCATTCAATAAATGCACAGCAATTTATTTTAGGCTGTTTCGCTCTCTATCTGTCTCTTTCTCTCTCATGTTCTTTAAAAAAGGTTGACGTCATTACTGCGTAATAGAAAACACAAAAACACACAGACCTCCATAGTTTCTTATTGGAATAATTCAATTATCGTCTGCGTCAATGTCAATTATCATTTCGAAATGCCGTCATGAATACACGTTAACTGTTTAATTAAAGATCTAATTTAGCGAACTGCTTTTGCGTCACAAAATAGACGAGAAGGACATACGCTCATACCAAAGATATGTTTCAACGTTTCCCATTTTTAACAACCTTTGATAGAACTTATAATAAAGCAAAATTAAAACCCTTTCAAGCTTTTTGGAAATTCCACGAGGATGTTACAGGACTGACAACAGAAAATCCGTATAGTATAGTATAGTAACGACTACTGAACAACATAAAGTTGTAAAAAGTCGACACTACAGTCAAATTGTTCTAAATTCTAGCGCATCGGTGCTAATGACGCAACAACCCATAAGCACACTCTTTGAAAATATTGTTGCAGATTTAAAAAATTATATACATTACGCGTGAAATAATTTTATACTAATATGTGTGATAAAGACACAGAGGAGGTACCCCCCACTACCAAATTGTGTTAAGTTTTTATAGATATATTGATGTATGTGTCAGTAAAAGTCAAGAATAGACATAAAATAAGAAATTATTACGTCTACCCCGATATAAATTAAAAATTGTATCGATTCTGTGCGCACATACTTAAGTTGCAAAGAATATAAGTAGGTAACTGATATGATTTTGATATAAAAAACAACCCACCACTTATATAAAATAATGAATTCGGTTTTGTTAAAACAAGTAAACACCCACCACATCGATGTGGCATGACCAACGTAATGGGCAGTTAACCGGTTCACTTAACATAAATTTTGTGAATCATTTTAATTATAACCTGCACCGACAAGTCGCCACTGATAAAAATACCATTTTATATTAATCTTGTAACACTTCTTATTTATTCTGAATGCGGGTGTAGGTGGTACTTGGGTCATGCATTGCGTGAGCGCAGCGAGCGAAGTTCGACTTCACTAAACTACCACGTGCAAGTAAAATTCACAGAGTTATGCATTTTCCTAATATTAGTGATATGTACATTTTATCGCTTCGCATGTACTGAAAAGAAATTGAAAAGGGCTGGTGTTTCCATTTTCTGCGAACTCCGCAAGGTAAAAATTCGAAGGGATCCACACTCGCCTGAAGCCAATCGTATCATGACGCGTGAACCACGAGTGCATTGTGTCGTTTTATGAATCCACGGTATGGAAGAATTAATATAGCTGGATAATAATTCTATCGTGTTGATTTTTAGCGAAGTCATTGCGAGCGTAGCGAGTGGTTGTATATTATACTTCGACAATAAATAAGTTTCAGGAATAGTGATTTATATACCGACTTAGAGTCGACTGAGGTTCTACGATTTCACCTCGATTTATTGCGTAACAAAAAGTACAACATGTCTGGAAATTGTAGAGTAGTTTGCGATTCCAGAATACTTAATTACAAAAAATAATGCAAACTATACTTTTCGTATTGTTAATTAAAAATTATGTGCAAAAAGAAAAAATGTTGGTATTAACTTTGGGTCTTGCTTTAGAGTGTACGAGACGGATCCAGTGAATCATATAGAGAATACTAGAGTAACAGTAACTCGATTTTGTATGTATATGTATGTTGTTTGTGGTGAGAGTACATGGTTAAGAGGTTTGTACTAGATGGTTGCAGCTTGAGATCTATGTTCTTTTAATGCGATAACTCATAAAGGATTTGACAAATTTACATGATTTATACAGTCAAAAGTTAGCGAGAAGTTGGTTCGGCGTAATACTGAACTAGTACATTGCTCGCTGCCAGTGTTGTAATTCCTTTTAGCTCCATGAGACTTTTTCCAACTACGACAAATTATTTTCAATTTATATTTCTTTCAAATAAAGGGAAAATAGCAGCGACAAATTATTCATCTCATTTGCATATATCCTTCTTAAGAGTTATAATTCCTCCGTAATATGATCCATTCATCAACCAAATTAATTTAAAATTTCATTTAATTATCTTTTTATTGACAAGGCTCTCACACTCTTCTTAATCAAATGAGAACTAGTTTCTAAAAAGCTTTTCTTTATCCAAATTGAAAACAGATAAAGCCTTGCAGTGCCCTCTATAACGTTGCAACGCGAAAATACATCGCTGTGAATTTCCTTTTTCAGGACTACATTTCCACGTGGTGGGGGAAGGAGTGGTGCGGGTTCGCAGCTCCCGCCAAGAGAGGGTGTACGACCGAGAAAATTACATAGACTTTAGAATGAGGCTTTTAGGCGAACCTGGTATGACACTAATAAGCTAAATTTATCAGTTAATTTATAAACAAATCTTGTAGGTCAAGGTCCTTCAGTATTATCTCCCGGAATCCACAGCTTCCCCTTTAAGCTGGGACTTCCGTTAGGCTTACCGTCAACGTTCTTGGGAAAGCATGGATGGGTGCAATACTTTTGTAAAGCCGCTCTGCGCGAACCAAATGGGCTAACACACAAAAACCAACAAGTTTTTATTGTGATGAACCCAATCGACTTAAATCTAGAACCGTCCATTCTAGGCGTAAGTGTACTAACTTTTACTAATTAGCCGATTTAGAGCAATGTCTTGATAATATCATGTTATTAACTTAGAACATTTCGGGACAGGAAACGTTTAGGTGTGAAGTTGAACACAAATTCGGTGTTAGTTGCGTTGGCTCTGGGCCCGTTGTTTGTAAAGTTACTCTAGATAGAGGAGGCTACGTTCCTGGTGAAAGTATAGGTAAGTTCCCGCTATTTGTAACGACAGATTTTTCATATAGTATCTCAGGTGTCTCTGCGAGTGTTTACAATCGAAGTAGAGTTACCATTAAAAGTACAAGAGCGGCCTTAACGGAAAGTATAACGTATATGGCCAGAGGCAAAGTAGTCCAGTCTGAAAAAAGAGAGTTGGCTTGTTTAACAAGAGGTAAAATCAGGCCAGGAGAAAAGGATGAATGGATTAATGAACAACTTTACATTCCTCCTCTACCACCAACAAACCTGCGAGGTTGCCATTTAATTAAAGTGAACTATGACGTCTATGTTAGTTAAACACTTGCAACTATTGGGCATATTTATACTAATAAACAATTTTCAGTTTATAATAGAACCGAAAAATCTTCAAAAGGAAGTTAAACTTCAATTACCCATCATGATGGCCACTTACCCGCTACGGTCAGAAGACGAAGAGGGTGCTTTCAAATCAGGAACCCACTATCCATCAACTTTACCTATATTTAGACCATGGTTAGAAGATAAACCATCAGTTGATTGACGTTAACGATAATGTTAGGAAAAACTAATGCAATGTGCCAACATATACATAATATTAAGAAATACGGGCAACATACACATCAACAACTCAAAAAAGGAATGTCCTCCTGTCTAGAAGTGTTGATGATTTTATGTGCCCCTAGTCACATAGTTTGTGGCACGAATATCGTTCTAGAAATTAAACTTGAGCTCTAATTTTGTAAACACAGTATTATAAAATTTGAATCAACGATTCCTGTATTTTAAAAATAGTGTACTTCCCGGTACTGTTGCTTTCAACACAAACTAATTTGATACTAATGTAATAAAATTGTCACACATGAATGGTAAAAAATGTAATGATAATCCAGTTTTAACTTGTATAAATTACGCTTAACAGTAACGGCCTTTTGTTATATAAATATAGAACATCTAAAACAAATAAATTTGTATGATTGATGTACCGCGTTTAATTTCATTAACCCTATGACAATTACTCTGTTTGCCTCGTACAGTACCCAGAAATGCATCAACTGTCGTTTAAATCTTAATAAGACGTCATTACCGTGATAAGTTGATGACCCTTGACCAAGAGAGATATTGGCAGACATCTTTTCAACTTGGTTAACATCTTACCGCTTTACTTAATTAAGTTGCTTATTCAGTGCTGGTGTACAAGATGCGTAGTTTAAATCTCATTTTCTTGATTTTGTTAGTGGATTTTTGTCGAAGTGAAGGTATGCTTGATCAGTACATTTTGACCGTTAAATGCAAAATCTATTTTAGTTCCTTCTGCAAAACAACAGCAACTTATTGAACAGAGCGAAAAAAAGATCAGTGACCACATATTGGGAATACTAGAACATTATAAACAAGATGACCCTGTAGGAATTCCCGGAGTACCAGTGCCTGACCCTTTGTCCATCCCGCCGTTGGCTCATTCGTTCCCGGTTGGCAAGATGACCTTCAAAAACGTGAAACTGTATGGATTATCAAAGTTTCGACTCGAGCAAGTCAAAGCGGATGTTACTGCAATGAAAGTAGAAACCGCATTATCTATAAAAACACTGAATGTGATGGGCAATTATACACTTAGTACATTTTTCTCGTCAGCGCGTGGGCCATTTACGGTGAAACTAACCGACGTCTACGTCGTAGCTATTGCAACTCTGGAAGTTGAGAGGAATGGGCAGCTTGAAGCTCAAGATATGAATATGGATATCAAATTTAAAGGAATTGCAATGGATTTCAAAGGATTGGGATTCTTCGCGAGTATGTTTCAAGGTGTTATTAACTCCGTCGGTAACTTTATTTTCGACTCTATAAAACCGTTTATTCTGCGCGAAGTCAATACAAATATGCGAAAAGACGTCAATGCGCAAGTAAGGAAACTTCCGCAGAGGTTTCCCAATTCAATTTCACCTTTTGATCAACTTCTTGTTACTGTACGTCATAAAATCAGAGATGCGCAGTTGGATCCTTACAAAGTGAACGACTATAACACCTCTGTTGGTATTTTTGATATTTTTATGAGCCATACGTGGTTATATGGGTTGTCTTCGATCCACAGAGTGGGTGATATTGTATTTGAAATAAAAAATAATACGGTTTATGCAAATGTGGCAGCTGGAACACAGAAAATGGAAGGAACAAGTCAATGGGAAGTTTCTTTGGCCGCTGGTTTTATGTCACAAGCGGGAACAGTTTCATTCACCGTGGAATATCTAACAGTACTGTTGTCAATAATTTGATTAGTACTATCTTAAATGTTGAGTTTTTAGGTTGAAGTAGTTCTTAGTCAGACGATGGACACACGGAATCCACCCACGTTGGAAGACATACAACTAGAGTTGGGGAATATCCAAGTCAGATTTGATGGTGCTGGGACTGTAGATTATGTAATCGAGCTGGCTGTTAACGTTCTCCCGAATTTGTTAAGGTATCAAATAATGGATGCTCTAGAAACTCCAATAAAACAGCGAATCCAGCTTGAATTGGACAAAGTTAACGTTGAACACATAATCAAGCAAAATATCAAAAAAATTGATAATCCTCATGCGATAGAGCTTTTGTAATGAAACTGTAGTTCAGATTATAAATTTATTTTCTTTTATATAAAATAATAAAGAAATAATGTACATTATTTTACAGAGTACAAAATTTAACTAAAATATAAATAGGTACAATAAAGTAGTTGTGACTACCAATCATCAATAAGATAACAGGAACTCATAGTCAGGCTGCAATGTATTGATTGGCATTTGTCCAAAGAATGTCTTTATGGGATGCTACACATTATATAATTACTTTAACTAATAAGGCAATTAGTTCCATCTCTTTTACATATATGAAATATTGAGTAGACAAGAATCTTAGAGTACCCCATAGAATGGAAAATCAATAGACTAGTCTTTATGGTTTCAGACTCACTGAATACGCCTCACTTAGTTATGATTTGCTAATGAACACTGTTTTTCTGTAAAATGTAGGCCTTTCAGCAAATGAAGAAAATATCTTTGGTAATTTAAACTTATAACTACTTTACAAAAACAGTCATGTTACTCATGTCTCTTGCTGCAATAGTCAGATCTTTATAGGAAATACTTTCAACTGAGATGTGATATGTAGCTAGCACTGAGTTGTTGCTGCACCGTTTGTGGGACATCCACTCACGTAACCGTTAGCTGTAGCTTCTTTGTTCTCAACTGGAATACTGGGGAACCGTACATGTGTGTCTGCGTCAGGGTCAAACTCGTCGTTGGAGTCGTCAGAATTCAGGGAAAAATTGACATCATGATCACCGGCCATTCGAAGTGGGGTACTAGGATCGTCCTGTGAAGGAGAGGGCGTCGGACGCGTTGCTCGAGCTTCAATTCCGGCTGCACTATGATAAAACGACACCTGAGCAAAACTCGTGCTGGCATCTTCTAACAACAATGTGCACAACCTTAAGAACGAAGGACGTGATGATGGTTTATGCTGCCAACAACATCTCATTAAAGTGTAGAGTTTATCAGGACAATTTTCCGGCCGCTCCATCACACCCCCGTCAATCACATATCGCAAAACTTGATCATTTGACAACCCTTGGTAAGGTTGTGATGCGAGTGTTGCCATTTCCCACAACACGACTCCGTAACTCCAAACATCACTATTACTAGTAAACACACCGTCTTTAAGACTTTCCGGCGCCATCCAACGCACCGGAAGAAGCCCTTTAGTCCCTTTTCGGTAATAGTCTGTTTCGTAAATATCGCGGGTCATACCGAAATCACCAATTTTTACAGTCAAATCTTCTGCTACCATACAGTTCCTAGCTGCCAGATCACGATGAACAAACTTTTTCGCGGATAAATATGCCATTCCGTCTGCAATCTCAATTGCCATTTGTAAGATTTGCTTCAAGGTTGGAGGCTGCCTTGCTGTTGAGGGGTCGAAAATTTCTCCATCTGGACGGTGTGAACGCAGATAGGACTTCAAGTCACCGTTCGCCATTAGTTCCATAATTACAAGGGTAGGCTGACCCTGAGATACTACTCCTAATAATCTAACTACGTGAGCCGTATCAAAAGCTTTCATTACAGATGCTTCATTTAAGAACTCGAGACGTTCCCTGAAACGAATTGGAAATAGTATGAACTAAAATACCCCAAGATCTGCATACCTATTCGTAGCGTGTTCATTGACCGTTTTCACAGCACATTTAATCTGTGCTTTACCTCTTACATCCCTAGCGATACCTTCGTATACCATACCGAAACTTCCCTGACCCAACTCGCGAATCAGTTCGATCTTTTTGCGTAGTACTTCCCACTCGTCTGGAACGTACACGCTAGGGACGTACTCGGGATTCACAGAAGGGATCAACCTTATGCTCTCTCTGTCAGCTTTTCTCCTTCTATAGAACCATATTCCGACACACGCAGCCAACTTTAAAACAACAGTGTTCCTGTTAAACGTCCAAGTACTTTACAAAGGTACTTACAACTACAGCAATAAGAAGTGATATAGTCACAGCAACCGGAGTGTATGATGAGCGCTCTTCAATATAAAAGTAGACCTGTGGTGAGTAAGCTCCATTTTCGGCGGATGAAGTTGCAAAAACTCGGACGCTATAGTTACCAGGGGAAAGAGATTTCAAGGTGTAAATCCTGCTTTGATTCAAAAACCGCGCATGAGTTATGTACTCCTCATTTGCTTTTGACTAAAATTCAAAATTATCATTGATAAAAATTGTCTAAAGAGGTACGCAACTTACATTTTCGTTATCCACCTTTTTGTATTCTATTGTGTAACAAACTATGTACCCGTTCGGATCTTCTGGTTCTTTCCAGGTTATAGACACGGTATCCACACTTTGGTTTGTTACCAATACTTGCTTAATATCGTCAGCTCCTGTCTTTTTTAAGGTTCTAAATGTTCTTATACTGGTGTTACTGCAAAGATCTGACGACGTATCCTCACTCTCCTTGCTATGCTCCCTACAGGCTTCAACGCTAATTTCATAGACCGTAAAATGGTGCAAGTCTTTTAAATAATACTCTGTTCCCTTAACTTCAATACTTCGCGTATCAGTACCTAAAAAAATTAAATCGTACAAAACGGGAAGCGAGTGTTACGGTAGTTGCAGTTAAAACTGCGTTGTTGCGAGACCTTAAAATCTGTATAACACCTCTACCGGATACTGAAGACATTCTAAACTTACCCAACTTGATACAAAATCTCAACATGTTTTGTCACCAAGATTGCTACCATTTTTGTCAACTAAAACAAACGACTTAAGTGTCCTGGCGATACCAACCTCGTTGTAATGTCGCCACTTTGTATCAAGTCTACTAATTTTAGAGTGTTTTTCAGTATTACGCGAGGCTTACCAAGTGATCAAGGTCAGTGTAACTTTGAAGACCAAAAAACAGAACGTGTTACCACAAAAATCTTCTAGATATCTGCTACGTACCTTTTTCCGTCCAGTTATGGATCTTATTGTCAATTTTATAATTTTGCTTATTATTCAAAGGAGAATTCTGCGTGTCACGTTTCTTCCGAGACTCCAAAAGTCCCTCCCTAGAACAAAGAAAATCAAAAATTATGTGGCAGAGTTCCTACGTAAAACCTCACTGCTTTTTCACGTAAACTGCATTATGAAGCTCATCTTCAAAATCAATTCGAGATTTGACTATATCTTCATTGATGCCGGATGGCGATTGTTTCGTTTCTGAGCAAGAACAGGTATCGTTGTTAGTTGGTGATGACGCAGTAGGCGCTGATGTAGGCGTAGGCATCATGTGTCTTCGATTTGACGCTATAAAGACTAATGACATTCTCTTCCGTAAATAAAATTTGCAACTTACGTGATTTACAATCGATCTCATTTAAATCCAGGTCATTTTTACTTTCATGTTTCTTTACGTTGACAATGTAATGTGTTAGTTTACCGTTTGGCTGCTTTGGTGGTCTCCACGTCAACTTGAGGGAATTACTGGAGTTACTACTTATTTGTAATCCGACTGGTGCCGTTGGTGCTACAAGAAGATTCGTCATTTGAATGGTACAAAATGAATGAACTTACTGAATGGAAGAGTAGTGAAGTACAAAATATTACTTTGAGCACCTTTCCTCTCAGTTGCTATTGTATATGTTTTGACATAGAATGCGTACTGGGTGTATGGTTTCAGCCTTAGTAATGGATGTGTCACTTTGGTTTCGTTCTCGGGAATGGCGACATCATCCACTCGCCAACTGAAACAATGAATGAAACAAAGAAAATTTTTGTAATGTTTACGTACCCATCACCACCACAAGCATCCCGACCGTCATAAAGAGTAACGTTCTGGGTTGGTGCTTCTATTGAATAAACAATGTATCCCAAAAGTTTTCGTGGATCGTCCATCTCAAACGGTTCCCACACTAAAACAACACCTTTGCTATATCTCGTTGTTGGTATATCCACCTTCAACGGCTGGAGATCGCCTACAACGGATTTCTCATTATAAAAACGCAAAATGCACGACGATTTTACATACACGCAATTTTATCACCATTGGAACTCTTGGCAACCTCCAGTTCTGTGACATCTGTTATATTGGTAATATTCTGCAACTTTTCGATTTCTTTTATACACAGTTTTGGGTTGAAGTGGAAAAACAAGCGTCCATTATCTATTTTCAAAGATGTTTTAGTATTCCAGTTCCACAGCTCTTGAAGATTTTGATTATCAAGTACCACAAACACGTATCTAGAAAAAATGGTATCACTATCAACAGTAAATCAGGTATAGGGTATTACTTTTGACTTTCCAGTTGCTTGCCATGTATTACTTTTAGATTTTTGAGAAAATTCAAAGAGACCAAGGGGAAAGATCTGACTACTTTTAGATAGCCGTCGATTTCTTCAATCATACCCAAACTTTCTTCTAATTCATTCGCCACATTTCCTACAAACATATTTCATAAATTTTGAGCGTCAGCGAGAATTTTAGTACTTACTTCCTCCCCGAATTTGTATCTCTAGAGAACTAGTAATGTGGGTGCATCCTCTTAACTGTCGTGCCAGAGTTGTGCTGTCTACGTTGACTCCGGCACATTTCTTCATACAAGTTCCTGAAAATTTGGTTGGTCAATTTTAATTGACGCGAAAGTGTAACCCCGAAACCAAAATTAGAACTATAACCAACAATAATTTGGTATAGTCGTACTGTTTTAACCTTCCACAAATGTGTCCAGTTTGGTTTTCGGGTACCTCCGAGGTTGGTCCTAATTTTGGTTGAGCGGGAAATTTATTTGGAAAATTAAAATTTATGAAAACGGACGTTAACGAATGAACGTTACCTTGGCAGGGTATACAATGAGTGTCATTATTCATGTAGTTGGCAGGGCACTCTAAGATGCAGGAATTGTTGTAAATTTTGTATGGTTTTTCAGGTCCACTCTGCGATTGAAAATTCAGCGGCCTCCTCATTTCTTTGCAGTCGTCTTTCTGTATACAACGTCTTCCTAAATACTGCAAGCACACAAGTTTAAGAATTCAGTTAATTTCACATGTCAGCACCAACCTGATAATGATTCTGTGGACAACTTGACATGCATTTTTTGTTTGCTCCGAACCCCATGCTGAAATTTCTACATACGGTGCAAACTGTAAGGTCATTCAAATTACAGCCGCCTAAGCACCTGTCGTCACAGCAATCGCCATTGGCGTTACATGCACTTTTATTACACTTGGGGCAAATTTTCTGGCAATGTTGTCGATTCCAACACAATCGTGGATCTCTGTCAAAACTATCACTAGTCAACCTAGGGTGTGCTTTGGGGCAAGCTTTGTAAGATGCACTACTGCTAGGGTCGTCCTCCTTCTCATCACCGGGACACACCGGGCATTCGTTTCGCGATTTCAGACTCTTTATGAAGTGGTCTCCTTTCTCGTGGGCTATCAAATCCCAGTCAATGGAATTAACAAAACACAGCGAAGGATTCTTATCGATCCTTATCAAGCCGCGCATAATGTCGGTCAAAGAATAAAGACCAATTTCTTGTAAACTGGACATCTCAAACACCACGAACGAGTATGTATAAAACGTAACCTGTCCACGGATTACACTCAAGTTTGGAAACAACTGTCCTATACTCCGCAATCCGTTCACTCTATACAATAATAAATAGTCTGTTATTTCAGTGAGGTTTGGAAAACTTAAGAGGGATAGTTCAGTCTCATTCACATTATCAAACAGTAGAATCTGCACAAAACCTTCCACCACGTGACAACCTTTTAATCTGTTAAAGGCATCCAGCGTATTTCTTATGTCCATGCTTTCACAAGCTGAAACAACAGCATCATAATTAATACAAAACTCTTCATGTTGTGCCAAGGACAAGGTCGCACCAATCTTGACATCCAGAACGACAAAATAGAAAAGAAAATCACACTGGAACATTACCGACCATTAAAAAACCGCGCAAACAAAAAGATGAAGCTAATTAAAAATCAATACACATATAACAATCGGTTGGTTAAATATAAACGACAAAAAAAATTACGCTATTTATAGATGATAAATACCATTAATTACAATTTTTATCTAAACGCTAGCCTGTGTATACAAAAAATGAGATTGCATAAACAATATTTTTAGATGATTTATTGGTCGGATCAGATTATAAAAAATTAAATGGCTATAATCTGATACAATGAATATCATTATCCAAAAACCCCACTATAAAATTTATCACAGAAAACGTCACACCGCGTGCCCTGGGACAACTCTTTTCGCCGTCTTCCACTACCATTAATAGATCTAAAGTAGAATATAGATCAACTGGCAGACAAGTCTTTCCAATTATTCGTAGAATATGTGTCATTAGTAAAACATGTTATACTGCTATTCTATGTTTTACGAGAATTGCTACACAATTATTGGCTTGTTTTCTAAGATTACAAAAATTGCTACGTATATACAGCTTATCTCTATACGTCATTAACATTGTATCCTTACAGGTTTCAATATGGTGCAATAAATTCAAAAAATTGATTGTGCTAAACATAAAGATATCATAAAGTGGGGAAACTATATAACTGTACCATTGTCTGACCTGACCACTCGGTTACCAGGTAGTTTCTTCTGCCACCCCAATGGATAGCAAAAGTCACATAATATTGTAGCCGCGTGTTTCCTACGCGGCTGAGTGTGTCCAGTCTAACAATGATAACAATAACGGCTTTAACAATAGTTCCCCGTCACTGCAGTGACAGTGGTATCACGATACAAGGTTTATTTTTTATATGTATACATGATATTATGAAAGGTACCAACAGCAAAAACCTAATTGTACCGGACATAATCGAGCCTTTAAAAATATTCTGGTTATTTATACGTAACATGTATGTAAACTCAAAACAAATTCTGATGTAGATTAGCACAAATTTACGAAGTGAGACACGTGTTTACACTATAAAAATTTGTGTACCGGCCATTCAAACGCGCTTATCAAAAGCCCACGATATCCAGCTTAAATTATGCAATCTTGAACATTGCATCGGAATATAATGAGTACCGTAGTTAAATCCGCGGCAATTATTCCGTAAAAGTAGCTTCAAACACCGTCATCCATCCGATCAAAATGTCCGTTAATTGTACACCTTCAAGAGCAATTTAACCCGTACGTAAGTATCAAAGTCGATTCTTTCCCAAGCTAATTGGTCCGCTTCGACGAAGTTGGTGAAGGCGCAGGTAGTACCTGCCTCACGAAAAACGACCAAAAAGTCATGTTGGAAATAATTAAGGGTAGCACGAACACTAGTTGTGAACTAAGAAGGTCGTGAGATTGAAGAAGCCTACAAGAATGCGACCGTCCGGAATGCAGTTTAACGTTCGGAATTTGCGAGACGCTGTGTTTGTGCAGCCCAACGGGGTTACTGGCCATCTGAAGGACAGCGCCATTGGTGGAGTTTGCGAGTACCTATGCGATATGCAAGTGATCGATCTTGAGAAGTGGAAGACCACCAGGAAATGCCGAAAATTCTCTTGCTGCAAGACGCGCCTGAGACCGACACGAGAATAAGGGGCTAGTCGCGAATCTAGTTATACACGAGAAAAATGGTACCGGTTGACCAACATAATTTGTGTTGATTGTGCATACCCTATTAACTTTAACTACATTACTATTAGGATTACTAATAAATAATAATCATGACAAAAGATGTTCATTTTCGTTCTAAATTCATGATCTTAGACACACCATTCGTTAAAAATTGTTTGCAAGATTTCGCTTGAGGTGAACGTGGCTTCACAGACATTAAAGCCGGTAAGAAAGTGAGTTTGGGTTGAAACACATATTGTAACTTTCCTTATAAGTAATAGAAGTTGGTACCGTGTAATAATCACCCGTAAATTTGAAGTTAGTCTAAAAAACTAGAGAAAACAAAGAAAATAAAGACAAAAGTTACACAAACTCGGATTTTAAAGAACCATCAACGCCTGTTTTCTTGTCGAACACCTGCTAAACTTAAGAGATAAGTCGTAAGATCTCGTATTCTATAGTGCGCCTAAGTCTTACCTCGACACATGAAAAGGGACCTATTTCGTTGTTTTCTCACCTTTGCGTTTAAAGTTTCAAATTGTGTTTGATGCTCATTACCAGCATTATTCAATTGAAATATTTATTGCGTTAACGGTTCCTTAAAATGTGAACAGAACATAACTCGGCGGGAAATTTAAACAGGGTATGAGGTGGCGGGTCTGCTAACAAAGGGAAAACCAACGAAACAGATTTTCTTTCTACGCTCTGAACCATAAAGTCTTTAAAAAAGTGAAAGTTATTAGCGTGCAAAACCTGCACATTCCGAGTAGTTAAAGACGGTTTTATCAAAACTAATATTCTTCTTTTAACGAATGCCATAAACGTCATTATCTGAAAGTCCAATTTGGCGGTTTTAGTTGCTACGGACAGTTGGAAGGTTAGCAGTTTGAATAAAAAGCAAAGGTAAGTCTACATTTGGCGTCTGTTGTGAAGTTTATTATTGAGTTAACTGTTGCTACGTCGCACACAAATTGTACCGCCTTTTAAACGAAAGCAAGTATACAATACAATATATACGGCAGAAAAACATAACAATACGCCAATGCTAAAAGCCTGTAGCTGACAAAGAAGTCAATTTTAAAGAAATATACAATTCTGGGAATAATACTAAAATGCTATAACATATCTTCTTACTATGGTAAAAAACCTGTATTTCATTATGTACAAGATGGAAGGAGTACAGTCCTCAAAATGATTTCTTAAAAACGTTCAATTTTTAATGTACCTATTAAGATAACAAGATAAAAACCTCTTAGTTACTAGTTGACCGTCTTTTTTTCGGGAACGTAGTCTTTGGAGAGTACCATAACATATGCACAGAGTTATCATTGTAATATAATATGACGTTTAGATTTGTGATTTGTTCATCTACTCGTATATTAAAAGCCAGGTCTGGAAATGTTTAGAATCCGTTTGTGTTAATTTATTAATTCAATAAACACATTAACAAATGAAATTAATTTTAAGTCAAGTCTGTATCACTTCATTTCATTATAACCTCATTATTGACACATCGCGTCGATGTAAATGCAGACATATGTTCAATAACACAAGACATAGAACTAGTACTCGCTCAATGTTCCATCAATCGTACTCCCACCACAAGTCCCGAATAGAAGGTAGAACTTTTACACCCCAAAAACAGGGTTTGTTTGATTACTGATGACGCTACAGTAGCATCCATTAACATTAAAAACTGGTTAGTTACACCAAGTCCGTCTAACAGCGTCTTAGCATCAGCGGTACATAAAAAAGTCATCAATGAGATGGCCGTACTTAGCTATAAACTGAAGTTATAAACATTTCGTGACTCGTCGCATGAACTGGATTCTAGAACTGTGATTCCCAACCTTTTTTGAACGCGACCCTAAACCAAACACAAGAAACGGTTAAAAATATTATAGCTTCTGCTGCGATGACATTCGGAACTTTGACAGCAGTCTGTTCCTTAATCCTCATACAAGATACGATTTCGGGAATATCGGGCTTCTTTAAAATGTAACATTGATGAAAGTTAGCTGGATATTTATGACTCAGCAGTGACAATCTGAAAGTGGCACCTACGCAACAAGTAAGAAAACAGAAGAATAAAGCTCGAAGACAAAGGCTACCTAAGCGATATAAGTAAAATGTTAATAACTTTATTTTAATACTTTAGAACCCTAGGACTCACAACCTTAATCATTAAAAGAAAGTGTTCTTAACGGAGCATTAATAGGATATAACAAAGGCAATATCGTTAGGTATAAGGTAAATCATAACGTTAGTCAGAGTAAGTCATTAACCAGTAGTTTATGAACAACATGAAGGTTCTATCTTTTCCAATGTATATCCCGGTTTCTCTATGACAACAAAAAAACGACAATAGCCCGCACAGTTATCAGAGTGATTTATGGACAGTTAAAGCGCTGTCATAGTATTTAGTACTATTTCGATCTACCTTAATGTATCGTTTTGCGAAAAGGCAGATAATTAACGAGTGTTATGTCGGACTACAATCCATATATCGATATATCGCCCACCCCTTCATGACCTTCTTTCAGCGAGCGTTACAAGTAAGTATAGTTACAGAAATGATATAGCATGAAAGTATTTGTAACAAACCAGTAATAGGGTACAAGAAATAGAAATAGGATGTAAGGAATACAATGTCGTCAGCTATAAAGTAAACAATAGTATTAGTCAGAGCAAGTCATTAACCAGTAGTTAAGAGCAGTGTGAAGTTTACCACGTTCCCTTAGAAGTATCTCTATGACAAAAGGTGCGAAAATGGTCCGTATGGTGTTATTTCCGTGTCGGCCAAGTACCGAAGCAGTCGTACTCACTTTCATTTCCATTCTGACGTGCGAGGTCAGAATTGGGTTGCAGTGGGTTTGCGCCAGCACACGTTGCGCCAAAGAGGATGAGTAGAGCAGCCGCGTGGAGCACCGGCCCTGGGCCGAGCCAGCTGAAGGAGCGGCGCTGTCGGGCCGTAAAGGCAGTGCCGGTCGCGGCCATCAGTGCCAATACATAGACATGGGTCTGCTGGGGCCCGAGCAAGGTTGGCTAAGTCGCGTCGTACAGAATTTCTGTAAACTTATGACGCAATGCCCGATCAGTGTAAACATGTTATTCACTTCGGCCAGGATGTCCAAAAGCGAGTGTCGCTGCTCGTCGGGTTACACCTGCAACAAAAACGGAACCTTTAAAGCCCGCTCACACACGCGCGACTATTTTCGAGAGAAATTGGAATCCGCCGGTAAAAAATGTTCATTCATAAGTTTCATGAGTGGAAATGGTACGGTATGTTAACAATATCGCGAACGGGGCCCCACCAGGCCGCCCGCGCCGGCTCTGTTTTAACACCTAACTCCGAATCGCCGAATTTGTCATTACTTAATTGACGCGGACTTTAAAGCGATTTTACGCTGGAGATCCTGGGCGGACAATGAACCCTCGTATTACACGTCAACTGTTCTTTACGCCGATCGCGACAACCTGATAATCGCTTTATTTTATATGATTATGACATGCTATTAAATAATGTGCAACCACCATGGAGCAATGACAAACACAAAACATGAATCGTTGGCCCCGAAGGTATTTCCCGCCTAGGAACTTTGACGAAATCTGAAAAATCTTCCTCACTTCTACCGCTCATGAATTCCACGCGTGCAAGTGGGACCGAGATTTTCACAAAAAGGACAGCAACAAGTTATAAAGCACGTCATAAACATTCTGGACATATCAACACCAAGATGAAGAAATGTACTCCCATTTAATGTAAATAACACTAAAATATCATTTTGGTGCTAGTTTTAAAGCATTCCCGCGCCTGTACCAACGCTCAAAACTACCATCCGAAAATGTAACAGATACATATCGGATGTTCAGCTACGATTTTTTGTAACTATTACGAAATATGTCTACAATAAACCTAAAATTTAATTTATGACAGCCGACAACGTGGAATGGTACAACTTAACCTCACACTATGGGTTTATAAAACTCCCCCTTTTTTCCTTAGGTTTTCTTTTATCAAAAAACGCCAACTTGAAGAATTTTTCAACTGAACACCCACCCATCAATTATTGTTGTTGCACTGTTAAAAAACTCACGGGATTTCATTTCGTCATACTTTTCTCGACGTATCACAGTTCATAAAATGGCGATTGCAGATTTGCTTTGTACTTCTATACTAACCAAAATCTGTATGAGCAGTTTTCACAATTTAATTCTACTTTTTGACGAAAAAACAGCGTGAATCGTCAAATTTTGCAGTTTATGTCATGCCTTACGTAAGACTCATGGATACAATACCAACAGGATCAACAAAATTAGCGTATGGTCAAACGATCAATAGGCAGCAAACCCACAATTGTAAATAACAGTGGCTATACCCTCGCACAAATAAAATTGTTTTTTGAAATTACTAATTAGCACAAAATTCCTTCCTCTTTGTTATAAGGGCAGTCATGCGGCGAGTTCATAAATTAGATATAAGAAAGAGAAATTCCTATATATGAGAAATATGTTTCTATTTGTTTGGAACGTACTTAAATCGCAATAGCTCATAAAAAAGAATATTTGTTGAACGTCGGGTTTTACTTCATTCTGATATCTTCTTTATTGGGGAAATTCTAAATATGCGCAGATGGAATTTCCCCTGGCTGTTTTGTGTTCTTTATTCTCATGATATAAATTACAAAAATCGTCGTAATATCGAATTTGTTTAATCAAGACGAGAAGAATGTACGGTTTTGGTTATTAATTACGAACAGGGAATAAACAAGAAATAATTAAATTTTTGTGAGGATTCAATTGAAAGAGGCCAAACATTCATTTTCATTCTTTGATTTACTTCTTTTCAAACATCGTTTTTTACCATACTTAGAACTGCGCATTTTTCAAGTTTTAACTTGAGAGTTAAACAAATTTGGAAAATGTTTTATGAAGATCCCAACCTCTAACAATTTTTTTATTCGCAACTGAATGAAAAAACGTGACTTTGCACATTTCACCCGACTGTTAAATGTAACCTTCGGAAATATCTCTTCCTGTGTGATGTTTCTCTCGTACTTTTATATAATCGTTGTTATTAGAATTTAGATACAATCATTACAATTTATCGCATTTGTGTTATTGTTTGTCAAAAAATAACCAAAGTTATTAGTTAAATTTTTAAGGTGACGTCATCAAATTTCCTGAGTGAATCATCTCTAAAATAATTTTTAAACCCGGATGCCACAAATACTATTTTACTGGATTGACATTATGTTACAATATTTTTACATTCATTTGTACAGTGTGTAATACAAATTTAACGTTTTTGCAGTTTATTTGAACGAATTGTACATTATGGTGAAAACATTAACAAAATAAGTGTATCTATTTTTCAGATTTCGGAATGATGTTCTCGCAAAGAGGGTGAACAATGACAAGCTTAACACATGGCACAGCACCTGTGCAAACAATTTTTGGTTTAAATTGCCTAAAATTCGTAAATAAAAAACAAGTGTGAAGAATATAACTGCTCGAACAGTAAATATCTATTTGGCTATTTTCCATTTTCTGACTAACTTTCAACTGTAAAAGTAAAACAACTCACAATACGGAAACAAAACATCGAGAGTATTCGTCATCTCACAACAAAGCGAAATACGTTTTCAGAAACTTAAATCGAAAATTATTCATATGTACTTATACGAATCAGGAAAAAATGAAATCAGATATCTTTCGTTAGTCACTTTTCATTCGTCCCTCACTTTTTATCTCCCTTCGTTGGCAGCTGTACTATTATCAACTTATTCGTAATACTACAGCATAGTACGCAAAAAACTTAACAAACGCAACAGTTATCTAAAAGTAATTTTTTTAGTGTTCTGAGTTTTACTATTAACATGAACTGAAATATATTGCGTATTCGTTCCCTTTTAAAAGTCGATGACGTCATCCCCGCAATTCATTGATGGAACATTTGTATAAATCAGGGGGCTTTAAAAGCGCAGAAAAATATTGACGATGTTACACTAATTATGACCTTTCTGATCAAAGACGTTTTTTAAAAGGACTGAATACCCGTAACGACGGAATTAACTCACAACAAGAAACCACGACTTTTGGAAACAGGGAATCAAAGCTGTTGTCGCTATGGAGTTCACAATTTCTTCCCCACAAATAAAGCACAGATACAAATAATCCGCAAATTAGTATAATGAAACTGAATTCTCAGGTACCTGAAGATGTTCGTTAACGAAATGAAAAACAGAATGGCACGGTGTAAGGTATGCGGTGAAAAATGTTTTCGATGTATATTGTGTTAAACGCCACCTGCACTCGAAAATCGTCTCTATCGTCTACAAACAAATTAAAATGTCATTGAAACGTAATTAGAAATAAGTGTGTGAAGATTTAATTGGATATTGAATGTATTTATACGTCTCGTGTGTACAGCGGGTGTCACAAGAACGGTACAGTAAAATAAATTAGTAATGTTTTTGATGAATTGACATGTTCGTGAGTTTTAATTTATGAAAATGACAGTTGAGTTCAGCAAACGTTATTACTTTCGGCAGGGGTGAATTCCACATTAAAAGAACACGAAAAATGTTTGCAAGTTCAAAACGGTTGTACAAAGTTCCCCTTTTTATTCGTGCTCGCTAAGCTACAACAAAACAGGTTTTAGAAATTGGTGCTTTTATAGCATACAATGGGGAAATAAATACGTTATAACAAACATAAAGAGGTGTCGTAAGTACTAGCCAACTTTTTAATAACGGAAAAGCCGAAGAAAGTTCGATTTAAAATGTAGGCAGAATTGCGAACGAACTTTTTTAAGCTCGAGCAAAGTGGATTTGTAATATTAACAGAAAATATGAACTTTCTGAAATAACACGCCGTACACAGGACATAATCCTTTGCAAAAAACTAAAAACGTCCAAAAAAATTCTTTCTTGTAAAAACCCAAAACCTACGCCGAAATGCTTTGAATTCTTTGTCACAACTGAAAAAAATATTTATAATAAGCTAAATTACAACCCGCTGGGTTGAAATTAAAAAAATATACATATTATGGAAATTTAAATAATATGTCTATGGAAAAACAAAGTTATTTATTGTGTTTGTCTCACCAATGTGCAAGTTTTTAATGCAAATTTAAATCTGAACCGCTGATTGTGTTATACATTTGTTGCTTTAAATTGCGATGAAATTGATTATTTATTACACAAGTTCAGTCAAACGTAACAACAACAAGATAAAAGAGTCCAATTTTGCCAGTGTTGAAACCAATAAACCAATGATTAACAAGAGTTATGCGCTAAGAATTTCAATAAACCCACAATTTATTGAAATGTAACACATTAAATAAAATGCGGACACAACCAATAAATAAAACTGGGTAAGAGACGACTTTTCGGAAAGAACGGTTTACGATGATTTCATCTGACATGGTGCAGCCAAAAAAATGAAATCAGAGAAAGCAAGGTAGCAAAACAAAAATAGGAAAAAATCAAGGGATTATCAATGTTATTAAAACACGCGCAAACATAATTCATAGCTAGTTTCATCGTTATAAATATAAACAAGCCGCCATCTTTTTAATGACTAAGACAATTAAATAAAGTTTATTTTAAATCTTCACAGCGCCTTCAAATATTTTTCACTTTTCTAAACCCAGACGAAAAATAATACCAAAAGTAAATATTTACAACATGTGAACGTTCAGTTGCAGATCTATCTTCTGTAAAGAGTACGAAATATTTTTCCACGCTCGTGCGTACATTAAGCAAATTTTGTCATAACCTCACTCAACTAGATTAATTCGATCCTCCTCTGTAAAAACCGTACCAAATGACCGTAACAAAATCAACTCTAAACTATCAAAATTACTAATTTTTATAATCGATAAGCAACAATACTTTGGAAATGTGTTACAAAGACCCTTCACAAGTGGTACGTGTATTCACTGTATAGAATAGAGCGGATACGATCTATAATTTACGGTTTTATAGGCCAGAGATTACGCTACTTAATTTTAAAATTTGCAAACTTTTGTTGTTATCATTTGTAAACGTGTTCTAATTTGTCGCCTTCAATGTCATAGTCAAATCGCTGTGATAATTTTGCTATTTTTTACTATTGCGGTCCACAAATTACTCTCACACTTGAAGATAAGTGAATTCAA